AACAAGAATTATAGAGTAGTGTTATTTAGTACCATTGGTATTTAATATCAATCTAGGTGACAGCACTAATGATATTAAATAACAAATTCAATTAAATGACTTACATAATTTCATTTTTAATTGAACTTATCATATAATGACATATAGATCGGTACTGAATACCATTATGTATTTATATTATTTCAATCTTTGACTCCAACCACCTTTTAAGGGCTTAACTTGTCTTTGAGGCTATCACGACCATTCATTCTCACCACCCACCAAAACGGAAAAAAAAAAAAACACTTTTAGTGGTCTTAATGGGAAGCCCAAAATTCCTCGCCCGATTGGTTGGACTGCTAGATTGCCTGTGGTGCTCAATTTTTAAACTTAAATATATTTTTAATATGCTAAATTTCTGCGATGATGCGTGATGAAGTCATAGTGTTGACATTGATTTCAGGGTATAGCATGCCTCTTTTAACATTATGATATGACAGTCCCGTTCTCCTGCCCGCGACGGGCAAGCTTATAATGCCCACTCGGAGAGAACCCAACGTGGGATTCTCACATTTCGAGAGAACCCCACGTAGGGTGCTCCTGCCACATCAGCAGGTGGGCAGTCTTATCCTNACGAAATGAATGATTTGTAATTGTCAGTCCCGTTCTCCTACCCGCGACGGGCAAGCTTATAATGCCCACTCGGAGAGAACCCAACGTGGGGTTCTCACATTTGAAGAGAACCCCACGTAGGGTTCTCCTGCCACATCAGCAGGTGGGCAGGATAAACTTGCCCGCTGCGGGCAGGGGAACATTTTCGTATGATATGATATGCCTAGTATTTGAGTTAGGAAGGTCACTAACAAGTTAGGAAGGTCGCTGACTGTCGACCGTCAACTACCGTATAGTGAGATCGTTTATTAATATTTAATTAAATAATATTAAAAATTGTTCAATCACTATATAAATACACTAAAACGTAAAAGTCATGTACATGTGAAAATATAATTCAATATAATCCAAAATAATCAGAAAAAAAATACATACTACAACTACACTCCATAACCATAAGTTCAAACAATTGCATTCTCCGAATCTCATATTTAAAAGTGTTCCAAGATTGCCATATTCTCAATGTTTTCAAAAGTATCTTGATCCATGTATACCACCAGATTGTCATTCAACCAATACACCGTATACTTTTAACTTCTAACTTTCAATAAACCTATTTCATAACTAGGTCGAAAGTTTCTTGGCAACATCATGAATTTCGTTGACCCGTTTATGAACTTGGTGATAATAGTCAAAAAAATAAAAATAAAAACTTAAGTTCAATAATAAAATTGAAATAAAAATTATGAGCTGGGCGAAAATTTGAAATATAAAGATAAGTTAGGTCATCAAATTGAAGTTCAATGACCAATATGAATCAAATCCATACATTGGATAACCTCCAATGAAAGTTTGCGCCAGATATGCTTAAAAGACTTGTAATCCTCAAATATCTCCCTCTTACTCTACAGCCCCAAGCAAAAATCCAGCGCCACCACCCTTGTTTTCTCTCTCCACAGTAAAAAATGGCGGCCACCGCCCCATCCTTTGCTTCCTCCCCCAGTTCCAAACACCCTTTCGCTTCCTCATCCTCCTCCTCCAAATCATCACAATTCCTTTCAAGATTTGCCCTCTAGTTCCACCCAACCTACTGTTGGTGAAGCCAGCACGGACGATCGTCGGGCCTCGTTAGGAGGCGGCTCCGTCGATGATTAAAGTCCTTGAACTGTTGTATTTGAACGTGTACTTGTTAGAAAATATTAATGAACAACATTAATAAATTATTTTTCAACATCGATATAATATTCTAAGGGAAAAAAAAAGTCAACTGAAATGAGTAACAGAAAGTCATGCACACTCATTGATTAGGGATGTTGTGGAATTATCAAGCTCAATACAAATCTTTGATTGGTAATTAATTCTCTTATTTATTAATATTTGCTGTCACTCACCATTTCGACTCATCAATTATTGAACACGTACAATAATTTGATATTGACATTTGTCCTAACTTTATTTCTTCCAAATCCTTTACAAGTAGGTGTGCAAAACAAATGTTGACTTTTGAGAGCACATTAGTCCAACAGAGTAAAATTCAAATTTTAATTTAAGTTAAAATTAATAATAAATTTTAATTATATATTTTTTGAATTTCAGAATTTTTTAATCATACATTTCATTAATTTTTATGAAAATCTATTAAAAATTTAATTTTAATCCCTGTCGAGTAGGGGCTAGATTGAAATATTACGTCATTCCACTTATGTAAATTGATGATGCCTTCTGACGCCATAACCACTTTAGGAAAACGAACCCTGTCACACTCACACCCCACCATTGTTTTTAAATCTTATGTAATCTGACCCCAAAAGCACTTGTATTCTACATAAATTTGAATTCCATTTTGTTGTCACTTCGAACAAGTTTCTTAATTAGTTGCATAGTCTTTTTTTAATAATAAG